ACACACACACACACACACACACACACACACATATAATATCTGATCGTGTCTGCTTGCTCTTGTCTTGCTCTCCATACCTGAACTTGTTTCCTTGCATGTACACAATTTCTCCCATTTTTTTCTTAAAGAAACTGTTCCTTTCTGCTGGTGTGGATCCTCACCAAATGGCGTCCAGTCCGATCACTATTAGAGCTTGATTCGTGACCCTTCTGCTCATGTACCTCTGTTGACCACTTCTTCTTTTTTTTGGGAGGGGTACAAAAGCTCCACTCAACTCGTGGGGAGCAGCACGTGCTGGGAACCGGGCCCAGCGTCCCATATGAAATTACAAGCATTCAATTACAGGGACCAATACCCGGCTTCACCTCAGAGGATCAGAGAACAAACTAAGGGGTTTTAGAAGACCTGAATAAACTGCCAGCCTGTTAAAACCAGCTACTCATGAGAAAACCTTTTTTTGAACAAGCTATGAAACCATTCTCTCACGACAGGGGAGGGGAAATGAGAGGACAACACCTCTCAGTCGTGACGAGAAGCAGAATTGCCCTACTCTATCAGAAAACTCCTCCCTCCTGTCCTTGAGCTCCCCCCGTCGAGAGGCGACCCCTTCTCCTCATTGACCCCAACTCAGGACAAGCCCACTAACCAACCACCACTCCCTCAAGAACAAGCAGTTCCCACCAAAAGCCTGTCCCCGCAGAACGGTGGGTCCCCCAACGCATGGGACAGCCCCCTAAGGACAACCCTGAGAAAAACACCTGTCCATTGATGAAAGATTCCACAGAATTCCTAGAAAAACTACGATTCTAAGGAATCTAAAAAAATTCCTGAAGGAGCAGAGCAGGGAATCTTCAAAGCTACCCTCCCTCTCTCTCCTAATTGTAAACAGCTTCTTCTTTTTCTTTGTTCCCTTATTTTGGAGACCGCTTTGTGCACTCAGGTCTTGGAAAAATCTTTGAATTAGAACGACTACCTAGCCTGACTTGTGTTAGTCCTTCTATCCTGGTGGTGGTAAGAGAACCACCGGAATTAGAGAACCACTGGAATTGAGGCTTTGCCTAGTGGGCCGCTCCATCTATTGGTGAGGAGCGTCACCTGTTGGAAACCGGTTCCAACGTCCCTTGAATACATCTTTTCTTATCCTGAAGCAGAACCAATGCACAGTGCACAGTGCACAGAACAGGAGCTGTGTCCCTGCCAGCATTGATTGCCCTGGGCTCGAGGGGATATCGCTTGCCATTTGTTCTAATTCAAACACTGTCAAACTGTGGTGCAACAATTCAGTATGGTCTGTTGGCATATTGCACACACACACACAAACAGGGTCCAACTGGCAATCCCAGAAGCCCTAACCAATGGTAACTGTTTAATTGCTCTTTTTCTTTTTTGTTTTTGGAAAACACTTTGCCCAGGGTACTATTAAAGACCACCAGGATTGTGGGATCTGCAGGACAGAAGTCTGGATGTGGCCATTTCTGTGGCTGTTTTTTTCCCCCAATGCCTGCACCTAAGCTGGGTAATGTGTATGTCGAATACAGGATTCGAACACACAACTCTCGGCCCTGCAGGCAAACACCTAACCATAAGGCTAGGTGGGCTGGGGTGAAAGTTAAGCCCCAAAATGACCATTTCGTCAAAATGGACATTTTTTATTTTTTGAACGAAATTGAAACCTGTCTCTTATACACATCTAGATGTGTATAAACACACACACACACACACACACACACACACACACACACACACACACACACACAGAGGGTATCTGCTGTTCACCTTGGCGGATGAAAGCAGCAGCGATGGCGGCCCTGCTCAAGACGAGGAAGACGGCTCTCTGTTTGTGCCTGGTCGGGCTGAGTACGTTGATTCTAGCGACGACGTCGGTGACAGCGCAGGAGGAGCCGATTGCGGTCGCGACGGCGAGCGCCAGCGCTCCCGCCGCCGGCGCCTCCGACGAGTTCGTCGCCGCTGTTGTGAGTAATCCCGATCTCTCGCTGCTGACGAAATCGTTACAAGACACTGGTTTGGACGGGCCCCTGTCGGAACTGGTCGCGAGCGGGGTCACGGTGTTCGCACCCACCAACGCCTCGTTTCTCTCCCTGGGTTCGAGGCTTCTGGAGTGCCTGACCACGGAACCCGGCCGGTCGGAGATCCTCAGGCCTATCTTGCTCCACCACGTGTTGATGGGAAAGTTCACCGCCGAGAGCTTGACGACTATGGGCACCGCGTTCTTAGACTCGTTGTACGGGTCCCGACTGTTGATCTTGCAGGCGGTGGCCGATGGGACGGTGAGAGTGGATAACGCGAACGTCATCGCTGCGGATGCCATCAGCAGTACCACGTCGGTAGCGCACGTGATCGACGCCGTGCTCGTCCCAGCGGAGGTCATTCCGGATATCAGGCGGATATGCCTGGTCTAAGGCGGAGGCGACGGCGGAGGCGTCGGCGGAGGCGTGGGCAGAGGAGGCGGAAAGCTCGTCTGGTGGGAAGCGGACAATGTCGAGGCAGCAGGAGAATATATACTCAGCTGTCGTTACGGTAATGAATTTACTAAACGGGAATATTTGGAAGACAAAGGGAGGAGGAGGAGGAGGAGGGGGAGGAGGAGGAGGAGGAGGAGGAGAGGCATAAGGACCTACCTACCTTGTGCTCTGCTAGGCTCTCCGCTCGTCAGCTTGTCCTGCCCCGATATGCTCTCCTCTAGACTTCGTGAGACTTCTGCTCTGCTCTTACCTATCACCCTATCTCTTCTGCTGTGGATTTGGAAGGAGAAGGAGAAGGGGCTGTGCTGTGTTGTCATCTGTGAATCGATCTGCTCTCTGCTGTGGACTTGGTGGTTTCTCTGCTCTGCTCCTATCTTACCTATCTGCTCGACTCCGGATGATGGTCGCTGGACTAACAGCTCAAGCCTCAAAGAACTGCGGAGCTGTGCTTGACGTGTTTGGTGGCAGTGAAGATTCCACTCTGCGCACATTTCACCTCTGCTCCGCTGTGGACTTGGCTTCGCTCGGCTCTACTCTGCTCTGCTTCCACGTGCTCTGCTCGGCTTCGATCTTCGCCGCTCTGGATGCTAAGAGCCGTTGAGTGCTCGAGCTGCAGCTCGAAAAAGGAACAGTTTTACTGCTGATTGGCGCCCGATGTCATTAGACAAACTAGTATATAGATTTTGGGCTGCGAGTGGAGGATTGATTGGCTATTGGCTGTGCTGGAAGGAGGTTATTCTTGCAAATTGCCATGCCATCCTGGACGCTGTTGCGGTGTCACAGTGGCCATCGTTACCTCAGGAATCCGGTTGTATTGATCACGGTAGCCGTTGGGTGATGACGGGACTGCAGCTCCACTCCTGGTACTAGACTATGACGGAACTCCTATGTAGAGTATTTGCGGTCGCTTATCGATGGTACATCGACAGCACGAGCTGTCAATGTACTTGGGACGTGTACAAATGTTCTTCTCTCGCAGTCAGTTCGATCATCTATCGTCGACGAAAGCAACTTTTTTGCCGTGACTGAATCCTTCTCCCAAGTTCTTTCAGTTCTGAAGTCGGTGTGAGCTTACGTACCGTGTCAGCCTGTGTGTGTTTGTCATTGTATTATCTGCCAATCGCTCGTGGAGAGTGGACTTGTAGATGATGCACGATTTCCTGTGCATTCTGAAGCTAGTATCTTTCCTGTGGAAATTCAGTTTTTCTGATCATGGATATTTCAATGTGTTAAGAAATGGAGGACAACTTCGGATGAAGTACGACTCTTTGGCCCAGTTGCGCACTCTTTTGAGTCTTCTTCTTCTTCCTCCTCCTCCTCCTATTTGTTTTCTTCGTCTTCTTCCCCTTCTCTTTTTCCCTTTTCTTCTTCTTCTTCTTCTTCTTCTTCTTCTTCTTCTTCTTCTTCTTCTTCTTCTTCTTCTTCTCCTCCTCCTCTCCTTCTTCTTCTTCTTCTTCTTCTTCTTCTTCTTCTTCTTCTTCTTCTTCTTCTTCTTCTTCTTCTTCTCGATCTTCTTCCTCCTTGTCCCCCTCGTCCTCCACCTCCATGCTTTCCCTCTTCTCGCCATCTTCTCCTTCTCCTTCGTTCGTCCCCATTGTGTTTTTTTTTTTTTGGCGCTCCCTTGGTACCACACAGACTGTGACCCAGTGAATCTCGCCGAGCCATATTCCTGCGTCTGCACGAAATTTTCATTTTTGCCAACGGATGGGTACGAAGGCCATACTTTCACTACAATGTCTCCTTGCTGAATCTCCTCATAATTTTCTGCAGTAGGACACACAGTGGACATACGCGCTAGGATGCGCTCTAACCAACAAGAACTGTGCGGTCGAAACCGGAAAAACAAACATAAAAACGAAAAAAAAAGAAACAAAAAGATGAACGTAATGAATTCCCGTGCATGAAGTCTATTTCATGCATCTAGAAATTGGAAAGTAGGTATTTCTCTCTCTCTCTCTCTCTCTCTCTCTCTCTCTCTCTCTCTCTCTCTCTCTCTCTCTCTCTCTCTCTCTC